TTTACGTAGTGTTACTGCGCAGTGCTTCTAGGTCGAACGTCACACGCATCACACACATGACCACATGGCCAATTGTTAGCCTACTTGTGATGTATAACCCAGAAGTGCTGCACTGTTGCTTGAACTATCTCGAGGCCCACAGAAAAGGAAATCATTATTTGAAGAAGTCGTTTTTTTTTTTTTTTTTTTTTTTTTTTGCGCACAAATAGTATTCTCGTCACTTGACAAATTTAAGATTGAGCTACTTTAGTCACTCTGAATATTTTAACAATGTCTTTAACTTTTCTGGGCCGTTTCAATCCCTTAGAAGCCATATGGAGGAGTGAGCCAGCTCTCAGATTTAATCAAAAAAATGTCATTTGTGTTCCGAAAATGAACGAAAGTCATCGACGTGAGGGCAAGTAATTACTGACAGATTGGTGTGAACTATCCCTTTAAAGAAAATCAGTGCAACTAAATAACCCATTGCATAAAAATTCATTTCTCACACCGCGTGACCATTTTCAACCATTGACCGTTGAACTAGTTTAATTTATAAAAAAAAATATAATTTAAAAGGGAAAAAGACTTAAAATGAATGATGACTGGACCTAAGATAAACACTTTCTATTTTATGTTCATAACTGTAATTTTGATGGTGACTAAACAGAATCTAGATAAAATATGTTACCCTAGTTATATAGATAGATCTCATCTACAATATTGGCTTACCTCCCAATGTGGCTGATACCAAGAAATGAGTGCCATATTTCTTGATCAGATTTTCATGGATCTGCTGAAGGCTCGGCCTTCTCCCCAGTAGCCTGAGGTTGCGTAAAAACTCAGGTGCCAAAGGCAGCGGGGCTTTGAAAAAGTCTCTCTTCTCTGTCACCAAGCTGTTGACTTTCCAGTGACTAAACTCCCTGCAAGACAAAACAAAGAAAGTTACAGTAAGTGCTTTAATGCATATGAAATTTTGGAACCCATTTTTTTGTCGGCCATTGTTAGAAAAGGAAACTGCACGTCTGTGTGTGCACAAAAGGTGCGAGAGCAAGAGAAAAATGCTGATATGTACAGAAAATAAAGCATGCATAAATATTGCATGGTGCTGAATATTGATGCACCTCATCGTAATGCGGGACAAACATGATTCAGGCTCATAAACACAATAGAGCTTACATGATGCAACTGACAGCCTTTGTAACTCTGGCATCATGCCTGCACAAACACTCTCTGTATCTAACGTATGTGCATTTTATAAAGCCAATAACAATCCCAGCACTGTTTTTCTACAGTTATGTACACAGAACAAAGCTTGCACTTCCGTGAAGATGCTACCCAAAGGAATCGTCTTTTGGGCTTAAAACGGTTCGTGAAAATCTCTAAGAGTTAATTAACGAAAGCAGTGGCTGTCCGACCATTAGCTAATGATGATAGATGGTCTTAATTATAGGCCTTTAGCACCAGCTGATCGCACCTGGAACTCTGCTGGGGAGTGGGACGCTATCACCCAAAACGCTCAGCTTTTTAATACTACTATACCAAGTTGGCACCGCACCTGGTATTATTCCATGGCCTTGCTGTAATTTAACTTCTCCCATTTATTGTTTTTATTGTATCTGTCAGACTGGTTTCTGCCTTAAGCTTTAAAGTCACCATGAAATCAAAGTGGACATTTTTTTTTTATTGTTCATGGAAGATTGTAGTTTTTATTATAAATGATTTATCCATGAACGTTTATTTTTTTTTATTCATGTGCCCTCTTTATCTTTAATCAAGATAACCACCCCTCGAACTTGAAAAGACATCTGCTTTCTGATGATGTGTTTACTGGTGTGAGACAACCTGTCACTCATTAGATCACAGCAATAGCAAACCAATGGAAAAAGTCCCAGAATGCATTTGTTCTTTTTTTAAGAAGCCAATTCACTCGGATATATGTCACAATAGGGAGGTAAAAAAAGAATTTGTGATTTTAACTTTAAGGCTCCATCTGTACAGCACATACACCCGAAAGAGAGAACTGCTGATCTGCAACACCTCGCTCTGGTGGATTAAAACTGGGTCTTCTGGCCTGTTAGTATAAGTCTGCCAATCAAGCAGAGGACAGCAGGTGCGCTTTGTGAAAATATGTCCTCACCTCTCAAACTTTTCACTCATTAAAAGAGACACACGCCTTTATCGGATGCATATAATGAATGCTCTGTCCTCTGCTCAATGGTGGACTGAATAGCAAAGTCATTGTTGCTACTTTAGAATTCCTTGTAGATGGTGGTTAGTGCTATGCAGAGTTTGGTGAATGAAGGAGGGGAAGTCTGAATAGCAATTAGAGTCTCTTTCATTTCCCCTGTGAACCCGTGCTGGCGGTGCATTTTGCAGCCGTGTTTGTGCTCAGCACAATAATGGTTGCCTCACAACACTCCTTTGCTAATTTGAGACAGTTAAACATTTCCTCCAAGAGAACCTTAAACCATTTTCAAGGACAAAAGATATTACTTGTCAAGTAGCCAGTGCTGTTTAAGAGTCATTAAAGATTGTTTTTTTTTGTTTTTGTTTTTTGTTTTTGTTTTTTCTTGTAGTAAATTGACCAATGCTGTTAATGGGATAAAGGATTGTGTTGTGCACTGAGGTTTTGTTTTTTTCCAAGTCAAGTAGCAGAGGCTCTGACTTTACATTGAAATTAGCCTGAATCTCAGTGCTACATGCTCTAATTAGATTTTTTTCTAGTTGCCTTTTGGTCCTCTAATAATACATTTTAGTAGAAAATACAGATTCCTGTAACTCCAGCTGAGGAAATATTGGAGATGGTCCTCACTGCAGAACACGAAATCATGGGGGAGGAGTTGGATCCAGATCCAATTACTCCCACATTACATATACCTAAACCTACCCATCTCCACCCCCTGATTCCTAACCCTTCCCCTAAGCCTACCCATCTCCACCCCTTAGATCTGGATCCAACCCCTGGATCTCGTATACTGCAATGTGCTACTGAAATATTGAGCAAGGCCTTATTTACAGTAAATATACTTACAAATATCATGATGACATATGAAAGGTTATTCATATATTGCTGTGTGATGACAGTTGTAAAGGTTTGATTATGTTCAAATGAGATTAATTGATTAAGAAGAGTTTTAAGATCCGATTCGTTCATTAACTTTTTCTGATGAACATGCCAGTGAGAGAATGAGTGAATGTCAAAATTTTCAGTGAATAATGATTTAACTTTCAGTCTCTTTCTTACACAAAGCTACAACTTGGAATAAAGCGCCATATGGATGTTTATGAGATTCTTTTTGAGATTTTGGAGATTCCAGTCCTTAGTCCATTAATTTTCAGAACAAGAAAAGATTTGGCAGGATATTCACCTAAAGATTAGTCTTTTGTCCTCCATAAATGAAAATCATCCTATTTAGAACAATATGAATTAGCAAATTTAGGTTTTGTATAGTGTTTTGTTTTTTGTTTTTGCAGCAAAGCCATAAAATAATCATTTTGGGTTCCTCCAAGAACCTTTAAGAGTGTAGTTTATCTGCAGTGGCTGGAAATTCCATTCCATGGACATCACGTTCCCTAATGACCTTCACACTTTGCCTCAGTATGAAATCAGATCAGAGCTGACATGAATTAGACTGGAGTGACATACTATCAGGCTCTTAGTGCTACTGAGAAATATTTGTTCCCAGTGCATCTTGTTTTTTTTGTCTATCTAAAATAAAATAGGAACTTCTTGTCAACTAAAGTACTGTAAGTATGATATATTGCTTCCATTCCCTCATGCAGACATTACAAACGTGTCTAATGTTTCACTTTTGTGAAATTGCTTTGCAGATTTACAGTCTTTGTTTTTGTTTTTTTGTTGTTGTTTTTTTTCCCTACACTGTTAAAATGTTTTGTCAGGTAACCTAAAATATGCTTAATGTGGTAACATCTAAATTATGCAGTTTGATTTAAATCAAAAATATTATATAGTAATACACTAGATTATACACGCGAAAACAATTTTAAGGGCTAGGTCCGGTAGAACTAGCTCCTTAAGCTAACAGCACGTTTTTACTTTTTCAGTGTTCTGTAGAATGTGGAACCAATTTGAAGATAATTATACTTATAGCTCAAAGACTTGTGGCGACTAATATGATGTCTATTTTAGAATAGTGTTAAAGCACAATGTAGTAAATCATTGAAGTAAAACAAATCAGAAACAGGCTTTACACACAACTTGTCCCATTTATGTGTTTTGAAAAACCTGAAATGAAACGATGCCACGTTTTCAACAGATTGAAATTAAATCACTTTAAACAGTTTGTTCACCTATTCAGCCAAAAGCTTTAAATGTCACAATCTGTCTAAACGTCGCATCCTGTCTTTGCTCTCCTTTTATTTTTGTTTAAACCCTTCATTTAATGCACTTCAAAGGCTTCTTTTTTAGTGAACTAAAACATTGGCACATGCTGCTTTTTTTAAGGGCATCATCTAGAAAATAAGCTTATAGGAACCCCTCCCACCAGGGGGTGCATTGTATTGTGAAAGCAGCTTTAACTATAGATTTTTAAAGAAGGATTAGTTGTCAAAGTTAAGCAAATAAGAAATGACAAAATCATGCTTTCAGCAAAAAACAGAACCACACAATGAAAAAACAAAATTAAACTGCTCAGCAAAAACTTTTCACGGGGCAAACATCGATATAGAGAGTGAAATTTGGCTCAAACTGTGGAAGCTCAGGCAATGTTTATCAAATGCTTCTGAAATATTCTTTGGTGAGTGATTGATGTGGTAAATTGCATCAAGTCAACAGAACACAAAAGCAATTCTTTTCAAGCCCCTGTATGGGCTTTTTCACATTATAATTCCCTGCAAGCATCTCCAAGATTGCCATCCATTTGGCTTATTAATTCTACTTTGGTGACCAGCGTCAGCCACATGATTCAGCTCTTGTGTTTTCTGTGAAAACATCACATTTCATCTCAATTGCTTATGGTTTACACATGTATTTGTTTTTTTTTTTATTTCTTGTGCAGATACTCGTTGCCTTTAGAAACCAGCTGCTACCAGGTTACTAAATCCCACGGAGCAGCTCCCTGTTGGTCGTCACTGCCGTCACCTTGTGCAGCACCAATGGTGTGATGGTCTACAGATAATAGCACGAATGGGAGCTAATACATCATCTCAAGGTTCCCCGTGGAAAGGGTAATGTGCCATGGTCCTATAATCATAAATGTTCCTTGTAGTAGTACTTGTAGTATTCCTTGTCCAAATCTTTTAAAGGTGAATTAGTCAAGTTTTATGCATAAATGAATAGTGCTAGAAATTATAAATATATAATAGCAGTAAAATATAAAATAAATAGAAATGTAACTAAATTGCTTGTGAAATAAATTATGTGACATTAAACAACGTTCAATTTGTTAACATTTGTTAGTGTATTGGGTATGATGAACTTGAAAATGTATTAATCTGGATTAATGTTAATTTATAAATATAATATTGCTCATTAGTCAGTCAATATATCATGTTAATTCATACAACTTATTTGCATTTATACAAAAAAGCCTATATAAATATACTTGATATCCAAAATGCTTCTGAAATAAATGTAGTCAAACTTTACCAACTCTGGGTCACTAAGAACAAAAATTATGCTTAAAATTGTTGATTGGCCCAAAGTTTCAAGATATGCTATTGAGTCAGTACACAATGCTTGACTTGGGATTGACGGATAACAAATGAGTAATAAAGGGATGGCATCTCAATTTTAACCATGACTAAAATACATCTTTGACTGCATCTATAAATCTAAAGTACTAATGACAGCACTTGCTTTTTAGGTGAAACAATGAATGATGCAATCTGGTATTGCATCATACATGATATGAATGCCATCATGTTATTCCAAAGTCATGGATGATGCAATCACAACAATGCTTACATCACAACATATTGCCCTATATCAGCTCTAGAAGTCATACGGCATGGGTGCAAATCTCCACAGCCCTGCAGAGTTCATTTCCAACCCTGCTACAAAACACACACCTGTAGTTTTCAAATAAACCTGAAAGACTTGAGCTGGATATGTTTAACTCTGCAGGGTTGTTGTGGGCCTCCAGCAACTGAGTTTTGAACACCCTGTTATAAAGTGCCGTGCTTTCTTATATTTCAGTTTTTAATTGTGCAAAGGGACACATTTCTTTTTGGCAAAAGTGAGCATAGATGCTTCGTACTTGTGTGAGAGGTAACTTCAAATGCAGCATATTGAGCCCATCACTCCTTGCAGATTGCTGGACAATACGGTGACAGAGATGCTCCATTTAATTAGAGACGAGCAAAGAAGTGCCGAGTAGACAGTGAATAGAACTAAACTATGTAGTTTTTTTGCCTTTTGTTTAATTTCCATTTGATTTATATGACCCTTTCAAGTGTACATAAACAGATCAGGTCACATGCCGCCTTCTATCTATACAATATACATAGACATAAAAACTTAAATATCGTGGGAAAAATAGCCAGTTGCTTTAGTTGTCATATTTGGAATCAGTACATCGAAATACATAATAAATCGCATTTTTTTTTTATCTCTGAAGCAGACAGCTTTTAAAAAATTGTAGACCAGTATTATGAATTTCTTTTTATTGAGCACACAGAGATTCTGAATGTAACTACTGCTAAAACTTTAGAAAAAAGAAAACTATTGCAAGCGCACATCTCTTTCCATTCACAACAGAAAAAAAAAAATCCCCATCGGAGCTGGCAGTATGACTAAAGACCATAGAATTCACTCTGCCGGGGATCCTTTGGTGCGTTATTAACCCCCAGAGGGGAGCTGTGCCCGAGGAAGCAGTAAAAGGTGCAGTGCCTGCTGGTGTTCTCTTCTTGTGATGTGCAACACTCTTCTTGGAAAGGCTGATCTGTTATCATATCAAAGGGCCAATGCAGTGACCAGCTGAAGTCCCATATTTTTAGTGTGAGTTCAGTGATGCTGTTTACACAATGCATCTGAACTGTGAGACACATACAGAAGACTCGCCTACACCCAAACACCCACACAGACTCTTTGGCTTGCAGGACAGCCTTTCAAACAGGGCTGGCAGAGGCTCATCTCCCCCTCACTGAGTCCATCACAGTTCTGTGGGCCTTTCTCTGCCCAGCTGCTGTAGGCATGCTGGGTTCTGAATTCGGCGAGCGGAGAGAGTTGGACAGAGTTGGTCATGTGCCGACGGGGGGGAAAAGGAAGCAGGCAAGAAGGCCAAACTCCCCTGGTGGAGCTGAGGTCAGCCACAGTAAAGCACCAAAACACACCTTTTCTTCCCATTGTGCATGTCTTTGACATAGACTGGAATGAATGTGTAGCAATCAATATACACTGTACTGAATGAATGGTGTTAGTGGCTTGCCGTGTTGTAATTAAAACTGGTGAACAGCTGAATAATCACCGCCGTGTCGGCAAGGTCACAGGTTTGATTCCCAGGGAACATTTACCACATAAGATGGTGTAGTGTAGTGCAGGGGTTTTCAAACCACAAAAAAGTGTAATAATGTATTATTAACATTGACAGACAATATTTTTGGGGTGAAATATGTTTTTGAGAGAAACCTCTTATGCTTACCAAGGCTGCATTGATTTGATTAAAAATACAGTAAAATAGTAATATTATTAGAATTTAAAATAACCATTTTCTATTTGAATAGGGGAGACTCTGTATGGTTGTGACTTTTTACTTCATCTGTAACTCACTACATTTTTTAGCCTAAGTGGATAAACTTTTGTTTACTACAAAAGGCACCAATTAAAACTTCTGCTTGAATATCCCAGCCCTTAGAAGTTGATGTCGAATACACGGTGTGCCTTTGTTACAATCTTTATTTTTCACAGTATATATTTAAGTAAATATATTGCTGCATTTATATTTTAGAAAGGAGATATTTTATTAAGGCATCATCGTTTATGGGTCAGTGCAGAGAAGCTGAAGTCTTCACTACATGAGCTATGGCTTTTTCTATAATGTGACCAAACTTGTCCACTTAATGATATCTGCAATAAATCGAACAGGGATGTCAGTTATTTATTTATTTATTTTTTTTTTCGTTTTCTCCTGATTTGATGTTGTCAGGACTTCTCACTGTGCTTTATTTGATTCATCACAAGACTGACGAAAGGTCAGTTTGTCTGCACGAAATCTGACCCCACACTATTGTGCAGAAATCCAAGTTTTCTTCATAAATATATATAATTTCTCAAGGTAGTTTTGTAACGTTTTCACCTACCTAGTCCATAATCAACATTCAACAGTTTTTGTTTTATTTTATTACTTTTTCTGTTTCTCTGTTATTAATATGAGTGATTTCACCATTATACATTATTTTTCTCTCCTCACTTGCAGAGATGTAATAAAAGATAATAAAACCGCAAATTGTCAGGACTTGTCAGTATAGGCTTCATTTAATATATTTAGAATAATTTATGTGTTTTATGATTTGATGCACTGCAATTTACACAAACACTTTCTCCTACAACTAATTCCTTGCCAAAATAAAGTGGCTTTTTTGGCAGAAAAAAATCATCCCATTTGTGATCAGATTTCCACTTAGTAGCATTATCATTCAAAAGATTGGGGTTGTTAAAGAAGCTACGGTGGCAAAAACGGTGGCAATATCGTTGTCTGAGACAGCAGAGAATAGCCAGGAGAGTGTGTAACTTTGTCACTGTTTCTGTACCACAGTCCATTATAAACCACATCATGGATAAAGTTTACAAAGCCATAGTCAGGTGAGGATCAAGGGTCTTAATATATAATATAATAAAAGTAATCAGCTGATTGTCTAAAAGTTTAGGTGGCTAAATATGAACTGTTACTGTTGGCTGAGCTGGTTAAAGCATAAAGCTTTGTTTAAACTCGTTTAAACTGAATGTTTAAACTGAATGAGCCTAAAGATGTAACAGCGCCCGCGCCTCCACATCCCCTAGACACCATTTATCTACTACAAACAATAGGCATTTTTTACTCTGATTTTAAAAACTCTTTGCGTTCTTAAAATGCTTCCAAGATCGACTTGTTGACCGCGATCGACGGGTTGCTGATTCCTGTAACATATTGTTTTACGGTCAATGACAAGTGTACTAATCAGCTGTCTCACGAACGTAACCAGCACATTTCTCCCCACATAGCAAAGCCATAACACAGCGAGGGAGAAGAACTAAATTACATGAAACAATCCAACTACATATTTTATGTAGTTGGGTTCTTTTAAGGTAGTGATGAAACGCGCTCTGTAGCGCTGTTTGTTCAAAGTTGGCTACAGTAGAAACATGGTGTAATGTAATGTAATGTAATGTATGTCGACCTTCATAGAAAGGATGCCCGCAGTTATGTAGATATAAATATCTCATTCTAAGGTAATAAAACATTATGGTTTATTAAGTAAGTTCTTTATACACCACTGAAAACATAGTTATGGATGTCACATTGGAGCAAAACGTGCCCTATAACTATTTTTTTTTCTTGCCAACTCTCTGACCTATATTATGTTTATTAAATTGCCTCCCTGAGGTAACTCTGACATATTTGTTCTCCAGCTATGTTATTGACCTCTGCACGCTGATTTAAAAAAAAAAAAAAAAAAAAACGTATGCATGACATTTTGGTAAGTTGTAGCATACTGTCTCTTTCAACAGTGTTAGTGTTTTTTTTTTGTGTTTTTTTTACCATTAGCTAGTAGAGATGATCGGTTCATGTGCACTAGGGTCTGTCGTGTAACATTTACAAGCGCCAAAACTGTAGGCCTGTTTATTGTTTGAATTGTGTAATAAAATTAACAGAATCTGAGAGCTTACATTTTTTTAATGTCATAAGTAACCTGCTCTGTCTAGTCTGTCGGTCTCTGTGTCCTCTTTTCTTTGTGATTTTTCTGTGCGTGACTAAATTGATGAGTGGCGTGAGAGCTAGACTTGTAGTCAAGACTGCCTAAATGGAGACCAAGACACTAACAAGACGAGAGGGTATCGAGACCAAGACAAGACCAAGACCGACCAAGTCGAGACCAAGACTGAGACCAAGTCAAGACAGGAGGGGAAAAAAACAGTGTTGTTGAAGCTAAGCTAAACTGTTTTGCATTGCCTGCCTATCTCTGCCGATTAAGACGTCTCCAAATTAATCCATTCTGCAACTTTTAAATACTTTATTATATTTTTAAAAACAAAATGACTATAAGCTTAAGTGCAGTATCCGAAAGTTGGTTGTTTTGTTGCTATGGTTTCACACACACACCATTGGCGGTGCGCTCAAAGTCATCTGTCAGTTGTGCAGTCAACCAACATCTCCTGAATGAAGTTAAAACCCATCATGTCACTGA